GAGAGAGAGAGAGAGAGAGAGAGAGAGAGAGAGAGAGAGAGAGAGAGAGAGAGAGAGAGAGAGAGAGAGAGAGCGGACGTGTTGGGATGGCGTCTTTTCTCCCCCAATCTGTGTAATTTTGACAATCGGCGCCAGCCATCTTTTGCTTGCGGCTAACTGAGATTTTCCTTCTTTTGGATAAATGATGAGTGATCTGGTCTATTTTGTTGTCTCTACTTTCCTACAAGCTTGTCGAGTTCAGTATGATAATCGTCTGTATCTGATTTCGGCGCATGTTTGGCCAAAACGGTGTGAATGGATAGTCGAGTTGGTTGGAGTGTTATGATGCATGGGTACTTGTCGATTTCCCCTTCTTCTCCTTCTTTTGCAATATAGACTAGGAAGTCGTGTGATTGACGATGTTCTCGCCCCCAACCTCTGAATTTTGACCAATGCATGGATGGCGTGCTTCATAGGGAATACGTCTTTTGGTCTGATCATCCGTCGGTCGTGTGATCTTTGTCGGCTATACGCACATGTAACAACGTATGCATGAGTGTTTCGAAGGGAAAGTAGATGGGCATGTTAGGTGTATGGATGTATTCCCTTAGGCACGCCCGACCGAACTCATTCTCGGGAGAACGACCCTCAGGCCTTGTGCACGCACTTGTAAGCTCGACTCCGAGGGCCGCCGCTTACATGCGTGTCTGCAAGACGTGCCTGCGACCCGCCTCCCGAATAACAGAGGATCTGCTAGATCGGCAGTATGAATGTTGAGACTCCTTTCCATGTTACCGATCGCGAGTGTTTGAGAGACCGGGAATTCCGAGAATATTGAGAGCGCACGCACTTCCCCACACGCCCCAAAGCCAAACTCCCAGAATTCCACTATCAAATGGGGCGCTGGCGCGTTTGTCAGTGGGACATCGGGCGAGCCTCTGGGTCTGGTGCTACGTAGATTAGGGTCACCACCTTCACTGGTTCCATCGTCAGGGTCGGTCCCGTATTTGGTGTACCTGCGGGATGCTGTGGCTGTCGCGCTGTCTGAGTAATTGTTGCTGACGAACGTCACAAGTTTCAGAATCTAACGTGGCAGGCCTCAGGCGAAGACTGTATGCCCGCTGCTCGGTTTCGGAGAGGGTTCGTCTGGTGAACCCTGCGGCTCGGTAGGCGCGGTCCTGCTGGCACTCAGAACAAGGTGGGTCACGCCAACAAGGAGCAATCGCACGCCAGGGGGCGATCATTAGGCTGTGGAAAGGTAACGTGAGGTAATAGGGGGGATATTCTGTTTCGATGATGACGACGCCGGGTTCCGTGATAATCTGACACGTGGGCGGGCCAGAACAGCAAAAAGGGTAGGGAATGTTGGGCCCCCATTTCACTCCGATCAGGAAGTCGCATCGTGAGGTTGGGCGTCACACCATTGGGTCAAAGACTACGGACACCCGTCGACTATAGCCAGCGAGAGAGACACTAGGTTTATGGGCGAGCACTGCCAGCAGTTGATGAGAGTCTATGGGTCTAAGTTAACTATGTCATTAGGTCAACACCCAGAGACCACTGGACAAGCCGGACAAAGTTTCTACAGCAAGTGCTGCGCATGTACATTAGACCAGACCGGGTTGATTGGGATGAGCATCTTCTCAAGGTAGCTAGTGCGCATAATAACTCTGTGCATTTAGCCAGCTCGCATACACCCAACGAACTGCATAAAGGTTGGCGTCCTAGGGGTCCCATAGACTGCCTGAACCCAGATAAGGTTTAGAGACTGCCATCCTGTACGCGGGAATTTGCTGTTCAGTACCAAAAAGATTTCCAGCGTGTGACCGAGAACATCCGGAAAGCCCAGCACCAGATGGTAGAACAAGCTAACAAGCACCGCAGATCTTCACAATTTGCAGTAGGTGATTTGGTATGGGTAAAGTCCAAGGAGTTTCTCCCAGAGGAGGGAATCTCACAGAAACTGTTGTCTGCATATCGAGGACCATGGCAGATTCTTGACTGGATTGGCGATGCTGATGGCCCCTCCTATGCAGTCGAGATCCCCCAGACCTGAACACTTACCTGGTCTTTCACGCCTCTAAGTTACTTCCCTGTGATCAGTTTCCCTCAAGAAGGTCCATGATCCCTCCTGATATGGGTGGCAAGTACGACGTAGATAAGATTGTTGCAGAAGTTATCACTAGGTCAGAGCACAGAGGGAGATCCCAACGACAATATAAAGTCAGATTTGCTTACCAAGGGCCCAAAGAAGATCACTGGTTTACAAGGGATGAACTGATGGAAACTCTCCCAAATATAGTCTCTTACTATGAGAGGGCACGCAAAGGAATCAACGCCATTTGCACTTTTCTTGAAGGACCTCGAAATTAGGCCGGCACGAGTGAAAGGATTTCATGCTGCAAACATCCCAAGTCCCGGTTCCAGGGCCCAAATTGCCCCAGTCCCAGTCACTCCCAGTCCCAGATGGTCCCGGTCCCAACCAGTTTCGGTAGGTAAAGTCCCAAGGTAGGGTCTGTAGGGTCCAGAGTCTGTAAAAGTCGAAGCGTCACAGGTTAGGTCGGACCGGTAGCCGAATAGACCGGTTGTCAGAAGTCAGTCCTGTACCTACAGAAAAAGTCCAAGTTGCAAAGTCCAATGTTGCAGCAGCGTCCCAGGAAAGTCCGGAAGCTACTGGATGGACAAAATGAAGTAGCGGACAGGCCACAGCTGACTGGTACTGGTTGGAAGCAGACCAGACCTGTCCAAGCTCTTGTTTATAGCTGCTACAGTGCAGCGCCTGATTCATTCGGTGTTGCACAACTTGTGGAAGCGGTGCATACTGTTTGTGCGATCACGTGACCTGGACTAAGCACCTGGAGGAGGAAGAAGGCACCTTGTAGATCTCCATAGCTAGGGTTGGTGGCCATAGCCGCACAAGAGGAAGAGCGTCACAGGCGAGTATGTTCAGGGTTGGTCCAAGGGTTAGTACAGAGTGAGGGGAGTGATACAGGTGAGAAAGAGAGAGAAGGTGGTGAGAGAGAGAGAGAGAGAGAGAGAGAGAGAGAGAGAGAGAGAGAGAGAGAGAG